TGGTTAAGGAAGGTTTAGAGTCTTAGGAATGGTTCTGCTCTGTCTTAGGTGCCAAAGACCAAAGTCAAAGGACAGGTAAAACAAGCAGGGGCTGCAGGAACCAGCTGGAATGCAAAATGGCATCAAGTGAGACCAAAGCATATATCCAAACTGCATCTTTTATTGCCAGTTTTTCAATATTTTATCACAGGAAAAAAACTGAATGTCAAATTTCAAAACCAACTCAGAGTTAACAGGAAGGAATGAAGAGATGCTGCTTGAGAAGGGATATCCCAGGGGAACTCCCAGGTCATTTATTTGGAAGCATTTCTGGGAAGTTTGGCAACCTTCCTCAACAATCTTGCCCTGGCAGTATAGGACAGCACGCTGCTGCTGTGCCCTCTGCTCCCAGGGACCAGGACAGGCCAGGAAACCCCAAGCCATCAGCTGCCAGAGGATGCAAAGCATCTCCTTGCTTGCAAGCCACTTCCCACCACTCCTCCACAGCGACTAACTCATCACCCACCATCCCTCCTCACAGGATAGAGGAGCCTTGCAGTGAAAGGTCCCCAAGGATAGAGGAGCCTTGCAGTGAAAGGTCCTCAACGCACCCGTCTTCAGGCAAGGGAGTCATTGGTGTCACCCTTTGTCTCACTGCACATTGGGCGACCTGCCCTGGCAATCACTGAGCACTGGCCTTGCTCCAGCCCAAAGGCAGGTGTCATAAAAGCATTCCAGGAAGGCAACGCAATGCAGGGGTTCTATTCCCACCTGTCCCACCTTCACATCATCCATCTTCTCAACAGCAAGGGTCTGCCAAGCTGCAGGGCTGCTCTCCCCCTGCACAACACAGCTCTTGTGTTCCCATAGCCCCAAGCAACTGCTTCCCAGTGGATTAATTCCTCTTGGACCTAGCTCTACATTGCCCTGTAGCTCCTTCAAGCTCCTTAAAAAAACCTTTGAAAGGACCCTGGACCTTCCCCTTGCACAGGACATTCCCTGGGCAAGGGGGACAGGGTGTGACAGGTCATTGCTGTGCTGCAGGGTCTGTGCTTTGCACTGTTCTCCCCCAAGGAGCTGAAACAGCTAAACATATATTTTATCAGCTGTTCTAATTTACATCAGAGCCTGGACTTGGAAAAAAGGTGGCAATGGGGGTGGGTGAAGGTGGCCAAGAACCCCAGCAGCAAAATCAACACCATTCCCTGACCCACCACGCACACACATCTCTCCCTCTCATACATTTACCTCAGCCAAGTGAAATGTTCTCTTTAAAAATAAGACTGTTTTGCCGTGGTAAGTTACAACTCTTTCTAAATTCACTCATGGAAATAAATACATCTTAAAAAATATAGCCGAAAGGTTTGGCAGTGATCGAGCAGAAAAAAAACCAAAGAGAAACAAAAAAACCTCCGCCACTGCAAAAACACACATTCTTCTTGCAGACCCTTTCATCAAAGCCCTCAGCCCAATTTACAAACTTAAACTAAAACTTCGAAACCTGTGTGAATAGAAAGCTGCTACTTGTATAGGCCTCTGGTTAACTGAGTGAAAACAGGACAGAAGAAAGTACCTCATCGATGGAGAAACCTCCCTCTCTCTGCCCACCTTCTTCCCCCAGGCCACCAGGCACAAAAATCTCACGTTGTGGTAGAATCTGCAGCTTTTTATGTGAAGATCAGACAAAGACACCTCCACAGACCTGCAATGGAGTGCTGAGGTGGCAGAGAGGGGCCAGCATAGGCTCTTGGGATGCACCAGACCCAGCCAGGTCACTCGTAGGGCTCACACAGCTTACAGAGACTGACCCACACACGCAGGGTAGGGGCTGTCCCGTGCCACCACCCCAGCACTCTGGTAATGAGTAGCAACCTAAATAAGTTACATTTTTTTTGAGCAGAAGGCTGGTCTTGATGAGGTTCATCCCAAGACACAAAGATTGGTCTCTCAAGCCATCTGTTAGTGGTTTGCTGTGGTAACACCTGAGAAGGTGTGAGACATCAAGGGACAAAAAAAAGGGCAAAATTATTTTTAAAAAAGAAAGGGAAACAGAACATCTGCCTCTTCTTAACTGCAGTCCTCGGGGAGATGGAGGGATAAAGTACTCACAAGCATCTAGAAAAATGCAAGAAAAAACACAAGAAACTTTTTTGGTTTGTTTTAAACAAGAACAGAGCATGTCAGCCCTATCTAATTTCCCCTGCAAGAAGGCTGCAAGCCTTGTGGGAAGGGGCAAGCAGCAGGCTTCATCTAGTCTTGACTTTACCAAGGCTTGTGAAGTATGCTCCCAATGTACCCCTACGGGCAAGCTAAGGAACCAATCCAAATGAAAACACAGAGGGACAGCACAAAATTGGGAGATAAACTATGTGCATGGGGTTTTTAATAGTTTATGGTTAAAAATGGTTCCCTCTTTCTTTTCTCACGCTCTAACACACCAGAGGAGATCTCATGGGGGTCTAGAACTTCCTCCCAAGGGGCAGAGGAGGGGCAGGCGCTGATCTCTTCTCTCTGGCCACCAACGAATGCCAGGAGCAGAGGAAATGGCAGGAAGATGTGGCAGGGGAGGGTGAGGTTGGCCATGAGGAAAAGGTTCTTCAGGCACCCAGAGGGTGGTGGAGCACTGGAACAGGCTCCCCAGGGAGGTGCTCATGGCACCGAGGCTGACAAGATGCCAGAAGCATTTGGCCAACATGTGCCCTCAGGGACATGGTCTGAATGTTGGGCTTGTCCTGTGCAGGGACAGGAGTTGGACTCCATGATCCTTGTGGGTCCCTTCCAACTCAACATTCTATGACCTCCTTTCTCTATCCTCTAATTAGGAGGTTGGTCACCAGGCAGCCTGCATACAGCTGGCTCCAAGCTGGCTATCAGGTAACTCACACTGCAGCCTTTCCTCAGTAGGACAATTCATCTGCCCCTCTCCTTCACCCAGCTACCACTTTTCATTAAACTCGTAGGAGTTCAGTGTCCTGGGATCATCTGCTTCTCTGTCAAAACAGACTGAAACTGGTCCATGAATTAGAGCATTATTGAGACAGGACTAAGACAAACAGACAGCAGGATCCTCCACAGACTGGTGCAGAAAGCTGTTCAACAGACCCATGCAAACGCTGCTCCAATGAGATAGGAAAAGTCAACAGCCTGAACAGACAGTGGAGAAACAACTTGCTAGACAGCAAATCTGCAGGAGAGGAGCCTGCCGGTGGCGAGCCAAGTGCAAACAGCGCCGCGCTGTCACACGCACACGGAAAATCAAACATCCTCCTGGGATGTGTAACTGGGACGTAACCCAGAAGGCAGGGGGGAGACCTCTGCGGAGAGCCCCACGTGCGGCTCTGAGCGCTCACGCCGCGGGAGAGACAGCTGGGGTCAGGGCAGCAAAGGGAAAACTGCATGAGGTCCAGAAAACAACCCGCGGGGAAAAGCTGAGCAGGATGGAGCCAGCCAGGACAGACAGAGGTGGCTGAGCAGGGAAACAAGAGCAGTAGTCTTCAAATTTATGCAAAAAAAGTGCGTTTTCAAGGAGAAAGGGACTGAAGCACCTCCCAGTTCCTTGGGATACAGGGCAGGCAGTTTTTCTAACTGTAAGGAAAGTGAAGGACTTGAACAAATCATTTAGAGGGGTTCTGGTGTCTCCAACCCTCCCTCTGGTCAAAGGAAGAAGGTTCATAAACATCTGCCATGATGTCCATACATCTGCTTTCATCTCAGGATGGTGCTTTGAGTGTTGCCCATACCTTATAACTCACTGGTACCACATCCCACTTGGCACAATTAAGGGTTGAGGATCCCTTGACTTATAGGGACTGGTTTGAAATCTCCTTTCCTCTAATGCATCAGCCAGCCAGCCTTCAGGTAGCTGAGCTCCTCAGCCTTGAAAAGGTGAGCCTGAGCTGGACCCCAGAGCATAGAAGAGCTGCTCTGCAAGCACACACGTGGCTTTTTCATTACATGGTACTACCTGGTAGGTAGTAATACCTACTACCATTACGTAGGTACTACCTACTGCTACTGCAGGTAGTACTAGTGCAGTACTACCTGCACTACCGGGTGCACCTAGACTGTAGGTGTCTAATACCAGGTCCCAGCCGCTCTGCAAGCACACACGTGGCTTTTTCATTACGTGGTACAACCTGGAGGTGTCTAATACCAGGTCCCAGCCATGCAGCTTCCTGACCCTCAGACAGCCCAGGCATGAAGGGCTGGATGCTGTCTTCTCCTACAGCGGTCTCAGTAAGGGAAGGAGCTGGAAAATCTTTGTACACTCAGCTCCAAGATGGCTTGGTATCTACTTCTTCCTTCTGGGATCCAAGAATCCATGGGAGTCCCTTATTGGGTCAACAGGATTCATTTTTTGTGGATGGCTTTGGTACCCCTGCTATGGAATTTCTTCAGCCCCATCCAGACTTGCTCAGTCCTTATGTTCCTGTGACAGGTTTTGTGATGAAGACCCATTTCCTTTTGGAGAAGATGCTCTTTGGGCACAGGTGCCCTCAGAACAAGGGGGCAGCAAATGCTGAGAGCTTCCCCAGCAAAGAATGGGCAAAGGCAAGTGCAGTGCCTTAAACAGGACACCAACTCTCCATTTCCAGCTCTGCTGCTGGTTTTTAGCCTGCACACCACAGATTTTTTTGTCAAATCACCCAAAATGAGTAGCAATTTGATACTTTCATGCGGTGGTGCAAAAAGAGCTGTTTTTTCCCTTACACCTGTAGAAGAACACCACCACTTCTAACCACAGTGGGAGATGTATACTGGAAGGACCACAAATCTACCACAATGAACAGAGTGTGAAGTGGATGGGTACCCAACCTAAGAGGCAGGAGCACCTGTTATGAAAAACCCATTTCTTTAGTAATTCAAAGCTGCTTTGTTCCACTGAAAGTAAACATGTGATTTCAAGGATTCATGGAAGAGCTACTACAAAACAAAACAATAAAAAGCCCCTCTGCAAGTACTCAGTCCTCCTCAGCTGTCCAGCTCTGCTCCTTCAAGTTCCACCTGCCATTACAGACCAGTTAAATTTTCTTGGCCCCTCCATCCCCGTCCAGTTCCATCAGCTGGTTTCCTGTGATGTTGCCCTTCTTGCTTTTTCTGGATTTGAAGTACCGGCAGAAGACAGCAAGGGCCAAGAGAAGGATCAGAACCAGGGGTAAGTATAGGATGAAGTTCAGCAGTGGTGGGGATGAGCAGATCCTAGACAAGACAGTTGACTCTGGAGGAAAAAAGAAAGAGAAGTAAGTGAGGCCCAAGCTAGTTTGAGTTCCTCTCTCCTGCTGTTGCTACAGGTTATTTTCTTATCACATTTCCCTCAATCTTCAACAGCTACCAATTTTTAAGAATTCATACAAGCTACCTGAGGAGATAGGGGGAGACAAACCAGGTAACTGGCCTCAATTTCTTGTTTTAGGAGGTCAGATAGGGCCCTGGTTCATTCAGCTGAAACATCTCAACAGAAACAGAATGGCTCTTCAGCTAACCTGTTCCAGAGGGAGCTGATGAAGGAGAAATCTGCATGCTAAAGGGAGCCGTGCTGGACAACAGCAGGACCACAACAGCAGGAGGATGAAGCTCTGTCAGTTGCTCCCTGTGCAATTAAATCCAGATGAGCTCTGCTGTAGGTGCAGAGTCATGGGAGTAGGCTCCATGCCTGCCTGTGCCAGTAGCAGGCACAAGGGAGGGCTCAACAGGATCCCCTGAGCTCTTCCACGTTGGTCAGTATTAGTAGAATCAAGGAATGGTTTGGGTTGGAAGGGACCTTAAAGCTCATCTAGTTCCAACCCCCCTGCCAGCAGCAGGGACACCTTCCACTAGACCAGGTTGCTCAAAGCCTCATCCAACCTGGCCTTGGACACTTCCAGGGAGGAGCAGCCACAGCTTCTCTGGGCAACCTGTTCCAGCGTCTCACCACCCTCACAGTGAAGAATTTCTTCCTAATATCTAATCTAAACCTGCCCTCTTTCAGTTTAAAGCCATTTCCCCTTGTTCTATCACTCCCTGCCCTTGGCCAAAGTCCCTCCCCAGCTTTCTTGCTGCAGAAGCTATAACCACATGTAGGCACCCAGGCTGGCCTCAGGCATGGCAACTCCAGGGCTGAAGGCATGAGAAGAACCACAGGATCCTCTCAGCTGGGTGCAACAAGATTAATTTCACAGTTCGTATTTTTACCTCCACATGGGTCACCTGAGCCTCCTATTTCCCCAAAGAGGCAACAAGAGATCACTTTTTTCCTGCCTGTTACTTCCCCAAAAACACTGGGAGCACCTGACTGAAACCTTTGCTTTTACTTACTTAAAATTCTGTATGTAGACTCCAGCTCTATCTTTGCATCCAGTTCACATCCCAACTCACCCCAAGAGGACAGAGGCTGGTTTTAGAGACCTCGCTGGACATGGACTTAACAGAAAAATCACACCAATATTTTTTTCCCCCAAACCAGTTACTGTTGTGGCCCCAGTGGCACAACTGAGCCCATGGTCCCACAGAGAGCCCACAAGCTGCAAGGCATTGCAGACACCAATGCACTCAATGGTACCCTCTGGACCACATACTTCATAGTTGAAGCTCTTGATATCTCACCTGATCACCACCTCCAATGTTTATAATGCCAAGCACCTGGGTTTCAGCCCTGGCAGATCGATGGGACTCAGAATGGGATCTCATTGCCTCTCCCACCAGATCCATGGCATGTGTCCCTCAAAGGGCTCCCCTCCCTTGGCTCCCAGCACAACTCTGGTGATCTCCCCAGCACTGACCCCCTCTGCAATCCCTTAGCAAGTCCTCCTGGTCTCACTGCATCCTTGCCATCACAACCAGCATCACCAGCAGAGAGCTGCCATCATCCCCCCACTACACCCCAACACAGCTATGGGGAAGTGGTGTGGGGTGACCACCCCTCGCACCCAGCAGCATTACCTGCTGGGATGGTAGTCAGCTGGGTGTACCCCGAGCGTGCCAAAGCTTGCAGAGACCACTTCTTCCCCTCGCTCTGCTGCTGCCACTCCTGCACCTGGCAGTGATACAGCCCAGCATCATCCTTCTCCACGTCATGCAGCGTCAGGCTGAAGTCGCCGGCGGCGGGGCGGCGGAGGTGCAGCCTCCCTGCCAGGCTGTCCCCAGGGTATTCGATGGCACCATCACGGTGGAGGGTGAGCAGGGGCCTGATGTGGCCCCTTTCCTTCTCCCGAAACCAGGTGGCTGAGAGGTGGGTGGTGGGCAGGTGGGCACCGTGCAGCAGGCAATGCAGCGTCACCTCCTCGCCCTCCCTCACCGAGATGCTGAGGTTGGTTTTCTCCAGCTGCAGTTCACGCCCTGAGGTGGGGTGTAAGAGAAAGAGACCTTGTGGTGTCACACTGCCATAGAAACGTACCCACAGGCTGATGGAAATCTTCCAGAGCGAAGCATGAGGGATTGGGATGGCCACTTGCAGGACACCCACAGGTCCTTTCCTCCTGTGACTCATTCTCCCTGGGGTGTTTGCCCCCTTCCCACCATCTCTATCCCCTGCTCACAATCTTCTGCTGTCATAATCCCACCCTCTTCAAAGAAGTGATAAGACATCCTTTGGACCAAAAAGTATTTAGGAAGATGGGATTCTCTGATCCACTTTATTTAGGGCTGCAACCCATGAGCAAGAGAGGCTGAGAAGGGGAAGAACTGACCCAGGGAGACCCACCATGCACCCCACCCAAAGGTGGGAGAAGCTGAGCCTTCAGCCTTGTTCTCAGCAGCAATGTGCTGCAGGGTGAGGAAAATGGAGTGTCTTGCTTGAGGTTGCTCAGGAGTACCAGGAAAGGGCTCCTTCTCTATTCACAGCATTGTGCATCCAACCAAGCACACCACGTGTTGGAGGGAAAAGAAAATGCCACGACTTGCTGTGTTATGTAGCATCAGATATCATCTGCCAGTGGCAAAAATACCAGCTGGGTTGGTTTGGGAGGATGTGGTAATTCCTTCTAATTCCCTATTTCCCTTTGAGAAGCACTGGCACCTTCTGCATCCTTAAGTCTCAGATCCAATGCAGGAGCTGCTGCTTCTCCCAAACCCTGCCAGTTTAGGAGAGGCCTGGCAGTGTGTCCCCTGTCAGAAATTGATCCAACCTTCTCCAGCAACACCTGGATACGCAAGAGATAACCACCTGCTCACCTGGGAGCTGGAACTCCAGTGTGGTCCTTCCCGATGCTCTCTCTCCCAGTTTGTACCAGCCATCCACCAGCCAGAGCCATTCCTCTACCACACAGTAGTACCTGCCCTGGTCCCTGGGGTCTGCAGAGAGTATCCGCAGCCAGAAAACATTGCTGGACACCCTCAGGCTCAGGAACCGGGACTGTTGTGCAGGAGAGCTGAACTCAGCCCCATATTCCAGTACACTTCTGTAGCTGGCCCTGACGATTTGCAGAGGGGTTGCATTCGCTGGATGAGGAGGGAGGAGGTACCAGGTAACAGCAAACTGAGAATTATTCTGGGCAAACACGATCCTGCACTCAATGGCTGTGTCAGCACCGCCGGCAATCTCCACAGAGCTCTCTTGGGTAGCTACCTGAAGCTTGCTTTCTAAAATGGAGAAACAAAATAATCACAGAATCACACAGTTGCCTCAATTGGAAAAGCCCTTTAAGATCATCCAGTCCAATCATTAACCCAACACTGACAAGTCCCCGACTAACCCATGTCCTTCAGCACTGTGTCTACACGACTCTTCAATCCCTCCAGGGATGGGGACTCCACCACTGTCCTGGGCAACCCCTTCCAATGCCTCAGAACCCTTTCAGCAAAGAAATTCTTCCTCACATCCCATCTCAACTGCCCTTGGTGCAACTTGAGGCCATTTCCTCTTGTCCTGTCACTTGTTCCTTGGGAGAAGAGACTGACCCCACCTCTCTACACTCTCCTTTCACGGAGTTGTAGAGAGCCAGAAGGTCTCCCCTCAGCCTCCTTTTCAGGTGCTGCCTGCAGCTCTGTCCCCTGGTAGGGCACACGGCTGATCCCCATGCGCCTGGGCTGCTCCTGGTTTGAGGAACCCCGTTCCCACCCCACATCACCTGTCACTGGTGCCTTTCCTTCTCCTGCAGCAGCGGAAAGAGCCACTGAGATGCTGAGGGGACTGGAGCATCTACCATATGAGGAAAGGCTGAGAGAGCTGGGACTCTTCAGCCTGGAGAAGAGGAAGCGGGGGGGGGAACTCATCAATGTTCAAATATCTAAAGGGCAGGTGTCAAGAGGATGGGGCCAGACTGTTCAGTGATAGGACAAGGGGCAATCAGCACAAGCTGGAACACAGGAGGTTCCACCTAAACATGAGGAAAAACTTCTTTACTGTGAGGGTGCCAGAGCCCTGGGACAGGCTGCCCAGAGAGGTTGTGGAGTCTCCATCTCCACCCAAGGATGGGCAGCATCACCTCGTGTGGCCCTGGGAGGTGAGCCCACTAGGGACACCCCAGCCATCAGTGGTCCTGGCTGCCTACGGTCATGTTTGATGGATATAAAGGTGCAGAAGAAAGATCTCTGCTGAAGAAGAGGCACTGCTTACCTGGCAGCACCACCTTTATCCCCACAGCATTGGATGTCGCAGTGGCCGCTGCCTGCCCCAGCGGCAGGGTGTTCCTCCTCCAGACGTCTACCTCACACTGGTACGTCCCCTCGTCAGCAGCTGCAGCATTGTGGATGTGCAGCCTGAAGGAGTTGTAAGCCTTCATCAGCTGGGCTTTCCCCTGCAAGTGTGGCTGTGCTGTCCCCCAGGCCACGGTGCCACCAGGAAAGACCCGGACCAGCTCGTGGTTGTGGCCGGTGGGTGGGTTGGGTTGGAAATGCCACCCCACAGACACTGGCACCTCATCCAGGGTGTAGTTGGCGCTCACTTGGCAGACGAGTTCAAAACTCTGCCCGTAGGTGACAGTAGCAATTCGGCTTCTCAGTGTGACGTGCAGACCGAGACCTGCTCGGGAGGAGAGAGCCCTTGGTGCTGGGACAGAAACCCTGCCCCGTGACACCACCTTCCCAGGCAGCACTGTCCCCGCTGCCCCATGCCAGCCCGCAGTCCCACTCCTCCTCTCCCCTGAGTTGCACCATGCTCTTCCAGCCCCACACAGTTCCTGGCCCCATCCTACCTCACCCTCTGTTCTCCCACCCCCAGACCTCCGTGCAACCCCTCTTCCAGGCACCCCAACCCCACCCCATGGCAGGGAGCCGAGGATCCTCTGCCCTGTTTGCTGCTGCTTTCAACCCTCCCACAAAAGCCAAACAACTCCCGTGGCCTGACCAGTGCCCTCAAACACCCAGCCCAGCAATAAGAAAGGACAAACATCTTAAATCCCAGCCAAAAGCTGCTTCTCCATCAAGGCAACCATTCCAGCCATCAAAAGAAGCAACGGCGTGGGCATTGCAGCTCTGTGCTCAGAGAAGGGCAGGAGAAGTGATCAGATGCCAGGACCGAGGGTGTATCTCTGACAAAGGCCACCATACAACTCAGCAAGTGCCTTTGTTGAACTTAATTACTGTGAGTAATTACGCTGCTGGAGGAGATATTTTGTATTTGAAGTTAAGGAGACAGACAGAAAGACCTGCTGAGCAAGCCACTGCCTTTCAGCTCTCCAGGCATTTTAGCTCTTGTGTCCCACTTGTCTCTTCTAAAATATCTTCATGGAGGACTCAAGCACCCTGCTAGAAATGGGGAAGCTGAAGCACTCCAGGGCCGAGTGATCAACCCCAGGTCACCCTGCAGCAGCAGCAGCAGGGCTCAGGACACAGCAGATCTCTGTCCTACCCACATGCATCCACCCACTTCTCCAGCCTTGCCTCCAGCATGTCCAGATCAAAAGCCCAGCAACAGAGGTGACTCAACTCACCCATGGAGGTGACGGTCACTGTTGTCTCCCCCTCCTTTGTCCAGCTCTGGCCTCGGGACCACTCCGTCACTTCACACCCATACTGCCCGCCGTCACCCTCATCCAACACGTTGGGGATCACCAGGGTGAAAGTGCTGGAGCTCGCTTTCTCCAGCCGAAGGTTTCCCCGAATCTCACCATCCTGGTAGGCACTGCCCAGGTTCAGGGTGCCATCCTGCTCCATGGCGGCCACCGGCACTCGGGGACCCAGGTGCTGTGGTGGCAGATGCCACCACTGCACAGAGACAGGGCTGGTCACTCCTTGCACCTCGCAGAGAAGGATCAAGGCATCTCCTGCCATGACCTGTGGCGTGCTGGTGGACACAGACAGGCGCATGTGGCTCTCTGCAAACAAGAGTTACTGCATGAGAGGGGACATGGTTGTGCTCCTCACAGAAAGCCAGAGATACTGTGGCATTAAATGGAGAGACTAGATAAATCTTGACATTGGAAAAGGAAAGAAAGCGTCTGAAATTTTCAACCATCCTGTTCTTCTAACTTTGGAGAGGGCTTTGGGGGGTTTTTGGTTTGTTTTTTTCAGTTTTGTTTTGGGTTTTGGTTTTTTTTTGTTGTTGTTTTGCTTTGTTTTCTTCTTCTTTAATGTCTTTCCTGGGACATACACACATAAAGAAATACTTAAGAAGTAGAGTCCCAACAGGAAGCTCCTGCTACATCAGAATAGTCATCGTCTAGCTGTGACAAGGAAACCAAGAGTCTCCTACACATCTTTCTTAGAGTGGTTTCCCACAAGTCAACCCTCCAAAACAGGGAGAGCACCCTGGTGAAAATGGCAGTGATCCCCCCATCCAGAAATACCTGTTCTGCTAGGTCATCCTGTGATCCTCAGGGGTAGCAACAAGCTTTACTCACCATTTTCTGTACCAAAGACACAGGAGGACCTGTCCTCTCCAAATCTCTACCTATTTGCCCCAAAACTTATTGCAAAGAGACTGAGCTAAAGGTTTCCACTGTGTTGACAGCTGCAACATCTGGTCAGGCTGATATCTGCCAGGGTAAGCTCTTTCCCCATTATTATCTACCAAAACCTCTGGCACATTTGTGCTCTTGCTGCAAACAGCAGATGTGTTGCCCCTACCAAGATAAGGCCAGACTTGAAGCATTCCCCAGTCAGGGATCACTGCAGGCTTTACCCAGAAGAGCAGTCATAGAATGGTTTGGATTGGAACGGACCTTAAAGATTATCTAGTTCCAACCCCCCTGCCAGCAGCAGGGACATCTTCCACTAGACCAGGTTGCTCAAAGCCTCATCCAGCCTGGCCTTGAACACTTCCAGGGAGGGGGCATCCACAACTTCCTTGGGCAACCTAGGTCATTAGGATTTACTAACCTATTGGCTTCACGTTGACTTGGATACTTGATGACAGATTCGTCTGGATGCTGTGAAAGTCTCCAGGAGTCTTCACCTCCGAAACAGAGCAGTGGTACGTACCATTATCCTTCAACCTCACCTCGTAGATGGTGAGGACATAAACAGCATTGCTTTGCTTGAATGCTCGGAGCTGCCCCAGCTTGGCTCTCTCCTCATGTTCTTCCTCCCAAATCAATACCCCATGGGGGTCAACCCTGGCCACTTCCACGCCACTGAGGAACCAAAGCACTTGGAAGTGCCTGTTGCTGTTCTTCTGGGCTCTCACCATGCAAATTAGCTGCAAGGTATCACCTTCAGAAAGGGAGCTTTCAGCAGCAGCGATGTCCACGGAGAGGTCTCTGCCTGTGGGCAATCAAAAGCAAAGAGGGTGTTGGGTGGCTCTGCCCACGCTTCCCTCCTGCCTGGCAGCACTGACAGGGTGCAGAGGGAAATGGGAGGGAATTCTCTGTTGAAACATTTTCTTACATTAGAAAAGTGCTTGGGATGGAAAATGTTGCCCATGGGGAGATGGCTGCCAGCTCCAGGCACTAACCAGAAGTTGCAGGTGCAGGAAGCACCAGAGCCCTGAGGAGCTGAGTTCCCACCTTGAGAACAGCTAACCCCCCCAGAACAGAGCACCCACCAGGATGGCCTTGGGCCACAGCCACACCCCTGCTCAGCTCACACACCCAAACCAAGGGTTACCCTAACCCAGAGACATCAGCTTTTGCAGGGGGCTGCTCTACCCTCACCTCCTGGGGCTGCTCCACCCCCACCTCCTGGAGCTGCTCCATCCCCACCTCCTGGAGCTGCTCCACCCTCACCTCCTGGAGCTGCTCCACCCCCACCTCGTGGAGCTTCTCTGCTTCGTGTAACAAATATCCTTCAAACCAGAAAGGGGAACAAAGGGGCTGTCTGGCTCAGTGGTGTTTTTAACTGCTGTCTGTGGTGGGAGAAGGTGTGTAGAGGGCTGGCATTCAAGTTGAGTGTCTGACGATGGTGGTTCCCACATGCTGCAGCCCTCACTGGCTGCTGCAGGATGTGGGCAAGAAATGCTCTCCAAGTTGGAGAGGTTTGAGGTTAGAAAGCAGAAATGGCAAGATTTGCCACAGCACAAAGAGGTTGGAGGGAAGCAAGAGGAGGTGGAGATCATCTCCTAGTCCCTGTCCTGCTCCCCATGACCAACTAGCAGGAGGAGCTGGCCAAAGAGGGTAGAGACAGGGGAGCACAAAGCCACCTTCCCCTTGGCCAGACCCTCTTGGGCAGTCAGCTGCACCTGAGGTTAGGACTCTATCTCTGGCTCCTAGGATATGATTCACCTTCCTTGAGGGGCATTCAAAGACTCTGGTGTTAATACCCCCTGGTTCCTTGGGTGGCTGTAGGCACAGACCACAGCATGCTCCAAAACCCTGCGTCATGACCCCACACAGCAGTGGCACAGCCAAAAAACAGGAGGTGGGGCTGAGCCCCGACTCCCTGGGCAGGCAGCCTGGCTCACACCACTCCATCTCCTTGGGTCACTGTGGTGTCCCCCATGTCTACCATCAAGGGCAAGGCTATGTGCTATAGTTTGGAGGTAAAACAGAACAGCTCCAGCTCCCAGCCCACCGCTGGAAGGGCTCGAATATTTTATGGAAAGCAGAGCACCCTGTGAATTTAAACACTGGTTCATAAACAGTTTGCAAACAGGAATCCTCCTCGCTCCAGATATGTTTGGCATTTCCAAATATTTGCTGGAGAGTTTATAGAAACCAATGGAGCAATCGGTCACGGTCAGCGTGGTCACCAGCTCCCAGCGCGACAGGGCACTCAGCCCCGCAGCCTGGGCTCTCCCACGGGTGCTGGAGGGAGACCCCAGCCCTGCAGACATGATGGAGGGCTGTACGCCCACTGCTCTTTCCCCCCAGCTCTAATACAACCACCATATTGTCCTCCTACCACCATTGCCTCCCTTCTACCCTTAATGGCTCCCATGTTAATATTAAATTCTGACAAGGTTTCTCTATTTCTAACCCATACTGTGGCACCAGTACCCAAACCACACACTACTGGTTATCCCAGAATGCCAGAATGGTGGGGTTTGGAAGGGACCTCAGGCGATCATCCAGTCCAACCCCCCTGCCAAAGCAGGTTCCCTACAGCAGGTCACACAGGAACATGTCCAGGCAGGTTTGGAACATCTCCAGAGAAGGAGACTCCACACCCTCTCTGGGCAGCCTGTCCCAGGGCTCTGACACCCTCACAGTGAGGAAGTTTTTCCTCATGATGAACAAGCGGATGCAGGGAAGCTCCCTGACTGCCGTTGCTCACCAGGCAGCAGCAGACGTGGAAAGCCTTTGCTGCAACAACATCGGGAACAAAGCTTTGCCAGTCACTCAGGTTTTGAGAACCCTGCAGGCTCTGACAGTGGGACACTGCACTTCCCTCCCCCTCTCCCTGAGCCGCACACGGGGTGCTTGGTCCTTACCCATCCGTTTCTTTGGTTTCCTGCTCTGACTCACCAGCCTCCCTCAAGACACAGGTTCCCCTCACCACTGGGCTCTGCAGCCTCCTCCATCCACCCTGAGGTGTGGGGACAGGGTACACCACCTCCCAGGCAGGTCTTCAGCGAGAGACTTGCTCCCATTTGACTGCGTACGTTAAAGGGCATCAACTAGACCCAGCCTTGTCTTGGTTGCTTTGAGGAAAGACTTACTGGTGGGAAGAGATTTTCCCTTCCTTTGGGCACAGCTACCCACATGCAGCTGTGGGGAGAGCAAGGTGAGGGGTGGCAGCCAGTCAAGGGCTCGTCCAGGAGGGTGCTCAGAGGAGTGGCAGCAAATACACAGTGCTGTCACCATCCCAGGGCAGTGGGGACAGAGAGGTTTTCCCACTGGCCCTGGACGATGCAGAGCTTGCAGACACCAGGAGCCATGAGGAGCTGCTGGGCAGAGGGAACAGGAGGTGCCTGGAAGAGACAGAGTGGAGCAGGGGAGGATGGGCAGCACTGGCAGGGGGCTGGTTTTCAAACTTCCCTGTTTTAATCCATTTAATCCTGCTCCATGTGGGAGCAGGTCTAAGTGTCCTCTTTCTCTACTCTTTCTGAGTCCCTTGTTCAGTTTTGGGCCCCTCATTCCAAGAAGGACATGGAGGTGCTGGAGCGTGTCCAGAGAAGGGCAACGGAGCTGGGGAAGGGTCTGGAGCACAAGTGTGCTGAGTTCCCAGCTGAGGGAACTGGGGTTGTTGAGCCTGGAGAAAAGGAGGCTGAGGGGAGACCTTCTGGCTCTGTCCAACTGCCTGAAAGGAGGGTACAGAGAGGTGGAGGTGGGTCTGTTCAACCAAGGAACAAGTGACAGGACAAGAGGAAATGGCCTCAAGTTGCACCAAGGGCAGTTGAGATGGGATGTGAGGAAGAATTTCTTTGCTGAAAGGGTTCTGAGGCATTGGAAGGGGTTGCCCAGGGCAGTGGTGGAGTCCCCATCCCTGGAGGGATTGAAGAGTCGTGTAGACACAGTGCTGAGGGACATGGGTTAGTTGGGGACTTGTCAGTGTTGGGTTAATGATTGGACTCGATGATCTTAAAGATCTTTTCCAATTGAGGCAATTCTGGGATTCTGTGAAATACCCAATATTACATTCTCCTCAAGCATAAGCCAGGAGCTTGGTGCACCCACCTCAAAATACGGTCTGACCCACAGCTCCATTACTGCCATGTGTGAACTGCGAGGAGGAGACACAGGGATGGTCTAATGAACAGCAACACCAGTGGAAACCAGCAGGCTGGTGACAGCAGGCACAGACAAGCCACCTCTAGCAGACACTAGCACTGTGCAGCACACGCAGCACATCCCCATGCCTGAGGCACAGCGATGGGCAGCTGGCTGTGGTGTACTTCAGTTCTCGAGGCCATGAGACCCTTGAGGAACTCTAACAGGGCAGTTTTCTGTGCACAGGAGCTTAATGCTGCCAAGGAACTAAGCTGCTGCAGGCACATGCTGCTGTCTCTGCTAACACCTTGCATGGACACAGAGGGTTGTGTGATTGCTGCCAGCACCAGAGATTTGGCTGCATGAACCTCCAAAGCAAGAAGCACTAAGAGATCCCAAAGCAGGGGCTGCCATAGCCTTGTCCCCAGCCCATCCCCATCAGCACCCAACGGAGGTGGCCAGACCCACCGGTGGGTCCCTGGGCTGTGGCAGAGGCAGGTGGAGGCCACTGCAGGCTGCTGCTCTAGAGCCTGGAAAGCACTAAGGTGTTGGACCCAACGTGTGAGTTTGCAAGGGCCTTACCCTGGCTCATGACCACCAGCGACGTCCTCCCTGTTTGCTTGCGGGAGATGTCCTTCCATGTCTCATCAGGATCCTCAATCCACTCTGCTGCCTCACAGTACAGCTGCCCCTGGTCAGATGGCTTCACTCCCCCAATGAAGAGCTTGTAGGTGGTGTTCCCAACCTTGTTCAGCCGCACGTCCCCCATCAGAAACCTCTGCATGTAAGAGGGCCCTGGCCTTAAGACAAAGTCCTTGGAGAGGGTGAGGACCTCCTCAGCATGACTCTCTCCTGCTCCCTGAAGACAGTACCAGCCAACAGAGAGATGTGTGTGCTGGATGGTGGACTTGGACACCTCACAGATGAGCTCCACTGCTTCCCCTTCGTCACGGGTGAGGACCTGGGGCACCATGGAAGCTGAGAGCGTGTCTGCAATCACTGGGCACAGGGGAGAAGCACAGAGAGCAGCAGGTCATGGGAAAAGTAATTTCTTGGCCTCAATGGGCAACCTGCAGGCAGGTCCCGAGGGATCTGACAGTCCAGGAGAAAT